AATATAACTATTGTCTGAAATAAAATTTTACCATATATGATGTATCAATACTCTTGGAGCGTATAACTAAGTGGGCCATTTCAAAAAATCTAACTGGTAGCACTAGTATAGTATTATGGCCATGAATAATCTTTTAGGTAAATTCGAATATAAAATTTGACAAATCAACCATAGGAATCTTAACTGATAGGAAGTGAAGTGTATATGCATGTTCATTGCTTAATAATTTTTCCATTTGGCATGCATGACGCTTGCTAATTATCTTAGCAAAATCTCTTTTTAATGAAGAATAATAATTCCTAGCAAATGTATGATTTTATTCCGACCAATGTGATCTATCATGCTACCGTCATGCATTCCCCAGCTAATATGATCATGAAGACAAGTCCTAGAAATGTTGTCTGCTACCTTTATAAGGATAAATCAAGTGATTGTCAAGCTATATTACGTACTAACCTTTCATTCTATCAAAATTAAGCACATTAAGAGGAGAAATTATTACTTGCGGACTCCGGACGGGGAGAACCATTTGGATTTACTGCGTATTTACTAAGTATTTGCTACGTATTTGCAAATACTCAGCAAAATATTAAGTTGTGAGTATTACTGAGTATTTTTTGAGTATTTGTTGAGTATTTTTTGAGTGTTCGCAGAGTATTTTGTGAGTATTTGCTGATTTACTGTGTATTGAGAAATACTCAGCAATTACATAGCAATCCGGACGGTTCTTCACGTCCGGACTCCACAGAATAATTTCTCCATTAAGAGACCTAGGATGGTGCACAACTAATTTCTTTTGAAAAGGCGTATATTTGAAGCAAAAGTATATTTCTAAAGGTATTCAGTTCACTTGTCATGCCAATTACTCGCCTTCTTGTGATTATTTTTGTATATTAAGGCCTAGTGCATATTATTGATAATGGATTGCTTTGATAGAAAATAAGGTCGCCAACATCTAACGCTTAAATGAGAGTATTAAATTCATTTTCATGCGTAGATATTTTTGTTGAAGTAAATCACATAGAGGCATCACAAGATATCTTAAAAACTTTCCCAAAATTAGGGAGTTTCAAAACTAGCCATGCAATCAATAATTTTGAAATGTTTATTTTTTTATAAAGTTCTTTTATGCTGAATTTCAATGTTCTCCTGAATTGAATATTTTCTTTTATTCTGCTCATTCTTTTACCACCCTTTTTGCTTTTTAAGCTTTTTTCCATTAAGTGTACTTTTAACTCATCCATGCAGTGGAACGATGCTAGCATTCTATGCGTATAGGCTAATAGTCGGTGAAAGCACAGAAGGTTCAAGTTTGGATGAAAGCCCAGAAAAATAACAAGAAGCTAAATGAGGTCTGAATCTCTTGTTTTGTTTTACAAATCTCTGCTCCTATTTCTACTTATACAAAATGATTTAGGAGATGGTTGATGGGAATCATTTGATCGATTTTCTAATCTTCTGAAGGATTGCTCCTGAGTTATGGATATATACTGCATTTGGCGGTTGGAAGAAATCAAAATGGTGCTGTATTAGTTCATAATATATTTTGATATTTTAGATTTTTTTTGTTCTGTTTCTGTCAGTTCATGCTATATATGCTTGTAGATTCAGAAATTCTTGAGAAATTGCTCTTATGGTACAGTTGTTTGTTCTTACTTTGGGATCAAATTACACTAATAATTGCAGTAGAGATTTTAGTAAGAAGTTCTAAGTGCCTTCATGTTTGAGCTCATGTTGTGTTATTAAATCTTTATCCTTATTTGTAGGAGAAAGCGATGAACATATAGAATTCCGTTGTCCTGGCTAAAAATTGTTTACTAGGGAAAGGGTATCTAGGGCTGGATCACTATTTGGTTATTTTTAAAATTTTTTGTGATGAAAAATTTTTTTTTATAATAAGATTTCTTAGAGTACGGTGTTGGCAAAATTAATGTTTTTTTTTTTAATTATAATAATCAAAAGAACTTCACAATTATTTTACCAGGGATGTCAATGAATTAGCAACCTGAACTCGATCAGAAAAAAATCAAATTGGATAACCTGCAGGTCGTGTTTTAATCAAATTTGGATAACCTGTTAATTTAAAATTTTATATAATTTATTTGATAAATAGATCAAACAAATTAAATCCAAGTTCATA